ATCTACCAATGTAGCCGAGAACTGGCTGCTTGCATAAGTGGGTGCGCAAAGTATGTGCCTAGCGTCAATGCCGTAATTGATAAATATGGCAAACGCAAAAACTCTTTATGGTAACTCTCTGGAAGCTTCTGGCGGCCATCAAGAATAGCAGCAAATGGGACCTCACTTGTTCTCTTCTTTACAACTTCAAACGCCTCGCCATATCTAATGCCTAACCTTCGGTCTCCATTCCATACGCCAAATAGATGGTGCCCGATCAAACCCAAAGAAGCTGCTACGGCCACTGAGTTCCCAATCCAAACTGTGTGAGCCAAGCACCAAATCACTTGTCCCACCATCTGTGGGTGTCTGGTAATTCTCATTATTCCAGTTTCCCAGAGATGCATTTTTGGGCTTGTCAACTGCTGTAACCTCTAACAAATTGAAAGTCGATGGATAAAGGAAAAAAAAGGAAATAAAGTTGGCAAACCAGAGAAATTCATGCAATCCAGGGACACCCTGAAGTTGCCACAGCTGCACACCATCGTATCTGTGGTTGATGAAGTAAACAACAGTACTAACAACTAATGGAAGAGATACCCCAGCAAATAATACACCGAAAGCTCTTTCGCCAATGACTTTCTCACCCGTGTCCCTAAGACTAGCTAAGCCACTATGGACCACAGCAAAAATCAGGGTAAGAAGTAACATGACAACCTTCGGACTGCCGGAAAAGGCGGAGAGTGCATCGATGAAGACTTTACCATAGCCAGTAGATTTATCGAACCAGGCGACGTCGAGTACATAAAGCACGACCCCCAAAATCACAGAGAAATAAATCCAGGAGGATATATATCTTCTGTTGGGACAGGATGAATTGGGCAGAATCCTCCCCAACTAGCGGTGGCGGGTCCTCAGCTGCTGCTTGGGGTTCTGTTTCTGCAACTTTTGGGGCCGATAAGAATTTGAGCAATTTTGGAGGGCCATTCTGCAAACGGACTTCGACGGACCCGCGCCGGTTAACGGCAGTTTTGAGGCGGAAAGGAGGAAGTTTGGAGAGAGTGCGAGGAGGAAACTCGGATTTGAGAAGATGGAGGTGTGGGGAAAGAGGGAGGGTTGGAGAGTAAAATGGAGGTTGTCATCTCAGATTCTCAAAGTCAACTAAAAAATGGGCGTTTGCTTCCTACTCTGTGTTTTGGGATATCCGAGAAGATGAAGCCAAGGTGTGTGTGTGTGTGTGTGTGTTTTGGGGGAGTAAATTATAGAATGTCCAAAACACCCTTATTTTAAATAACGAATGTAATTTCGTGTTTTCTATAGTTAGGGCTGCAAACGAGTCGAGCAGCTCGCGAGCGCTCGAGTCAAAGCTCGACTCGTGCTCGAGTTTGACCGATCTCGAGTCGAGCTCGAGCGGCTCGAGCACGAACTCGAGTCGAGCTCGAGCCCATATATTGCATTGTCGAGCGGCTCGCGAGCGGATCGAGATATGTGAAATTACTAAAATACCCTTGTATATATATATAATTAATGGTTATTTTACAAAATTTCTTGAAAAAATTGAGCCGAGCTCGAGCATTATGAATTCGAGTCGAGCTCGAGCTCTTGTATGTTTTGATCGAGTCAAGCTCGAGCACCAAAAATCGAGCTCGACGAGCTCGAGCTCGAGCACCTAAAAAAAAAAAAATCGATCCGCTCGATAAGGCCAATGCTCGACTCGACTCGGCTCGTTTGCAGCCCTAGCTATAGTATAACGAATGTAGTTTCGTTATCTGATGTGATTTTTTTATCCTGAAGTTAACTGTCTTAACATACAAAGATAAATTATCTATTATATCTGACATATCAGCTAAAGAACGTTTCTCTGAGACTGATAATCTACTTGATTCTCCTGTAATCAAAGAATTTTCTTTAATCTGCATAGGATTTTTATTTCCTATCAAAGTTTTTCCTTTAGCTATATCAATAGCCCAATGTTCTTCTAGAGGTGCTAACTCACAGAAGGTTTTTTCTTCTACTGAACCTATATCTGAAAAGATATCTTCTAGTTCAATATAAGATTTTTTCCTATAATCTATACTATGGTGACTATTACTCAAAACATGGCTTATAACATATGTAACACTAAAGATTTTATCTCCAGGGTTCATTAGATTTTCTCTTTCAAAGTGATGAATGAAAGATAAAGTTCTATCTAAATTTGCAGTTTGAATAGACATGCCAAATTTAGGATGAACTGTGAAGATAAACTTACCATAAGCAAGATTTCCCCTTGCTGCTCCTAAGATACAGGCTTTTCTGTCATTAATTCTATCATCGATTAATGCCATTTTTATAGGAGTATCAATCCATTCTTGAAATTCAACTTCAAGCAAAATTTTTATTGCTCCTAGATGAATTGTTGAAATTTTATTTCTTATGATAGATGGAATTTTCTCCAAATTTTTTCGTATTCTACTTTAGTAATTAAAGGCAGGTATACGGTTCCTTTAACATCTCTTATGTCTACATGCAATTCTTGCGTATTGATAAAATAGAAAATTTCATTTTTTCTTTTTAAGAAATTTAACATTGGAATGTTAAAAACTTCTTCTTTTTTGAGATTTAACTTTGATTTTTGAATCTTAGTTAAAACATCATGCTTTATTGCCAAACTGGCTTTAAATTCTTTTTCATTTTCATTAAATGAAATTTGTGAAAGATCACTATTTGAACATAGATCTTGTTCTATATTATTGTTTTCATTATTCATATTGGAATTCATATTCCAAACAGGTTTTTTCTTTGATACCAGACTCTGATACCAAGATTTTTAGACGGGCTGATTCCCGTGAGGAATTTATACAAGTTATCTAAGTAACTCATTTTTAACTCATATATAAGAATTGAGCTTTGTTGTTGTGCTTTCTTTATAGACTTTTTTAATGCAAGAATGAAAGAAACCATTCTATTGACATTATCAATATAGGTTCTCATGGTTGCTAATTTTATTTCTACAGATGCAGAACTGTAGACTTGCATATAATTATTCAATTTTTGCTCTTCTTCTTTTAAATCAGCTGTTAATCGAAGTATTTGCTCTTTTAGTGTTTTAAGACAGTTTATTTCTGTAAACACTACTCTTACCGGCAGATGCCAAAAATTATCGTTTTCCATAGTTAACTAGAGTTCTAATACTCAAGAAAAATCTATGAACTAGGCAACCCCTAAAAGAGATGCTTGTTTTTCTGCTTTCTTAATTGACTTCTGAGCAGAAACAATTCTGGCCATCTTACCATTTAATCTGAAACTATAAGATCTTACGATGCTCATTTTATCTCCAGGTGATGCCCTT